TTAGTGATGGAAGAACTGCAAAAAATTTGGATTAATGGGGTATTAATTTAGAGCTTCTACATAGTTTACAAAATACCTCCAAGTTCCAAATGCATTGTAAAAATTATCTAGACTATTTGTGCCTACAGAATTTGGGCTGAACATTTCCTTTGAAACATAGCCATTTGACAGGCTATTTGTTAAGAGACCTGATTATTCTTTTTCTGGAAACTAAACTTGCAGTTGAGTTGAAGAGATTTGGAAATTGAAGTGTACATGAGGAGAGGCTATGCAGGGAAAGATGCAGTATATCTTTTCTATAGCCAAGTCACAAAATATAGCAGTTTGTGGTTGCCAAATTGTTCAGCTGTGTGCTAGGAGACCTGAGAGACAGGATGTCCTTCTCCAGAAACTTTATGAAAATATGTTATTTATTATTCTGCACATAGAGAGAAAAAAAAAAAAAAAAAAAAAAAAAAAAGCCTTAATATGTTTGTTACTCTAAGACTTTTCTTTTGTTTCCTTTGTGTATATTTAGTCTGTGCTTTTCTTAATCTGGATGTTTAAGGCCAACACTCACAGGTATCTATACTCTTTACCTAGCACTAATCTGAGGGATTTTCCAGGTGAACTAGGCAGAAGAATTTGCGTGGGAGACTTTCTTATCAGAAAATACTGTTTTCATTCAACCTTTTTATTTTTTATTTTTAATATCAATGATAATTGTGAGTGAAATGTCCTTAAGATAGCACCAAAACATACCATTTTTAAATAAAAACTTTTTCTTCATTTTGTAATGACTTATCATAGAAAAATCTATTTTCAAAGTCAAACAATGTTTAAAGTCAAAACTGTGTGTGTGTGTAAAGAACGGTATTTATTTACATTCTGGTTGAGAAAAATCAAATGTAAGAATTGCTTACAGAATGGACAGTTTGAGGCTGAATCTGCAGGAATCATGTCTTCATCTGAGTGTTTCTGTCTTCCCTTGGCTCAGGGTACAGGGAAAAAGGTCTTGTAATGATGAAGCTCATATAGCAACTGGTTTCAGTAGAACCTCTTGAATATGATCACAGAGTGTATGAACCTCAATGCTGCATGTGTGGCTTTGCACCATTTAAGCTGTCTGTGCTCACAATACAATGCTGTATTGGCCACTGGACTACACTTACAGGTATGGCAAAACAGTGCTAGAGTAAAATGTCCAGTCCTAACTGGAGATGGAGTGCATCCATGTGTAAAAATACTTTTTTTTTTTTTTTTTTTTCTAAAGACTGAGGGTGTTATTTGAACTTCTCAGAATCTCAGAAAATTGTCACAATGAGACATAGAAAGTGACACGGTTTTGTGGTAATATTTTCTTCAAACTTTTTTGCTCACATTTACCTTGAATGTACTGCCATTCCATCTGGCCAGGAGATTATTTTGTCAGTTTTACAAATTGTCTGAAAATTGAAGAAACAAATTATTACTTCCAATTTGGTTAAAATGTTGAGCTAATTAAGCTTCAAAGTTGTATTACTCTTGTGCTTCTTACAAAGAAAATTAAGTTGAAAACATTGTCATGAATTTCCCAAACATCTTGAATATTCATCTTTAATTTAGGATCTGAATGGACTGGAAAGACTTGTTCTATAGATTATAATATCACTTACTTGTAAGACTGGAATTAGTAAATATATTCTATCTTCCTATTTTGAAGAATTGTAGTATGCTATCCATCAAATGTAACTTTAGGCCTGTACTACCTTAGATTTTTGGGAAATTACTATGTTTTCTCTGGTCATGTCCTGTGTACATGCCACTTTTGGCAGAGATGTCTTGGTACATTTCAGGGCATCAAACATAGCCTATGGACAAAATCTATCTGTGGTCTGGGGTGTTATCAGCACTTTTGTGGTCAAAGTGGAACTTCCATCCTTGCTGACAGGAAGTTTGTGAAGTGGTTGGCATTGAGCTGTCTCTTGGTGTGATGATCAGAAGTGTTGCAGCTGCACAGGGAAAGCAGTGGATGTCTTTATGTAAAAGCTTATCATACAGAACATCAAAACAGCCATAAGCAACCTTTACAGTTCCTTACCTTTTCTCAGTGTTTAGTAACACTACATAACTAAAGAAGACCTAAGCCTTGCTGTGAAGTTATTTTCTAAGTGTGCTCTTGTCCCACGTGGCACCACTTCTTTACAAAGTGAACTCTGCTTTATGAGTTTTACTGCACCCCTACTTCTTTCTCTTCAGTTTCCTGGGTCTCTTGTTTCTCTTCTGTTGACATTTCTGCCCTTGATATTTCCTTCTTTACAATAAGAATTTATCTACATATTGTCTCCAAGAACTCGTCCCAGCGGGCTTCTACCCCTCTGCTAATGGATTAGAAAGGAAGTAGTAACATTGGCATTCACAAATGTTGTGCAAACATTTTTCAGTGAATCTCAGTCACAAAAGTTGTTGCCATTGCTTCAGGTTTTGTTATTCTTGTTGTTGCTACTGATTCTAGAGTACAACTCTGTGCATGTTAAGTGGAAAGAGAATCTAATTTTTGCTGCCCTAAAAATTAGAGAATTTTTTTAAAGTGTAAGCTCAAATTTCATGATACCTATCACATGCTCCATCATTAAAGGACATGTCTGACACTATTGAAAAAACAGAGAGCAGCTGTTCTCCTGAACATATTCATTTTCTGTGCTGTTGTAGCCAGAACTGGGGTAGATTTTAAACTCTGTTCCAGAGGCTCTGAGTCCCAGCCAAGGTCTTGCAAAGCTGGCTGATTTTTTCCTTTTAAAGCGCGTTCTCGTCCCCAGATGACTTTGTTCAGCACTGGCTGGCAGCGGCAGGTGGGTGAATGCCTAGTCATGCGACAGAGAAGAATCACAGAAAGAACTGCTTCATCCTTCATGGCATGGTATCCAAGAGTATGGGATAGCAGTGCTGTTGCTCTAGGTAACCTGAACCTGCAGGACTGTAACACTCCCCTTTGTAGCACTGAGATAACACACCCGAGGAGCTGTTTTCCTGAGCGTGGGCAATATTTTTCAGTTTTGCATTTGTGTCTGTGAATTGGAGGATATTTAACCAATATCCTCCAATATCCTCGTAGCTATTGCCAGGCAAATGCTCACCTTAGCATTTCTGTGTGGTTGGGTACAATCTCAGGTACAACCAAGAGACTTCTTCATAAGGTTTTTATCAATTGAAGTGGCAGCTTCATTTTGTGATATGTAAACACTTTGAATGAGGAAAAAATATGTTTGTCCAACATCTAAAACATATCTTTATGGGCCTTTCCTATAAAGAGGGGGTAAGACTGGCCTGTTTGACATTACCTTATCATCCTTCTGACCTGTTTAATTTGTTTTTACACTGTTTTTATAATAATTACATGGGAATTTAGAAATTGCCAAACCTATGGCAGTCATTAAATACTTGATGTGTCTCTGCTAGTGAGCTATGGAAAGCAGAGCTGTTTGCTTTACTCTTTTCTGTTGCCTACATCCTTTAGCAGCTACACTCAAAGAATCTGACTTTGTACGCTCTTATGTTGAGGTAAATATTCAAATGACTCCAGAAGTGACAGTTACTTTAAGGAAAAAAATAGCATGCAATTGGAGTGAGTCCTAATCTAATACCTTTGTTTTGCTTGTGGATGATGTTTTTCTTTCTTTAATCTGTAGTGAAATACTTCACAGAATGCTGACAAAACAAACAAATAAACAAAAAACACTGTCTTTTAAACTTTGGTTCCAGATGATTTTATACCTAAAAGCAGAACTCTGGATGATCTGCTACAACTGGTTCATTAAATCCTGTGCTGTTAGCCCTCAATTAGAAGCATGAAATTGCAACACTTCTTAGCAGATTTGCTGACCAAATATGGAGAGATTCCATATATCGTTCTGAGTATTTTATATTTGGGCTCTTAAAGAATGTATGCAGTTCATCTAATGAAGCATCCGTATGTATGAGAAAAAATAGATTTCTGATCTCTCCCTCTGTTGGTCTATCTGCCTGTGTCTCTATTGAATGAGTGGGGTAAAACTCCCTTTACATTTTTTAAAATGTTTCTTGGACTCTTACCAGCAGGTTTTTACAGTCTGTTGCCTGCCTCTCAGATTAGAAGAACACTGGCATATTTTAACAGTTTCCTAGGATCCAAATAGTCTTTAATTAAAAGGGAATTGATGTTTTGGAGTGCAACCAAAACATGGGAGACACTGGAAGCAGAGAACAGACTTGAATTCTTCCAGCTTTTAGTGGTCTGTGACAAGGGGCAAACAAATAAGTAAAACACAGTCCACAGCAAACAGGTAGTGGTTTATTGGTATGCAGGGGCATTTCTTCATTTGCGTAATGTTCCCACAGAACTGGTGATTGGTAACATTAGCAGGGAGGAGCTTTCTGCTGTACAGAGTCTGAACCTACTCCACGAGCAGAATATGTTTGTCAGTATCTTTCCAAAACACAAATTTTGATGGCTACTGAAATTGTTTATAATTTAGACTTGTTTTTATCAACTGTTGAGGCAGCTAGGTGTGTTGTGTTTGCTAAGTGTAGGCTGACTCAGAAGATGCAAGTTTGGTTAATTAAAGAAATTAAATACCTGCAAATTACATGACTTTCACAGAGCAGAACAGCTAGTTGTTCTTTTTCTTTGGGAGCAGTTTTCTTGAAGACTGTTGAGTAGTAGGGCTGGGGTAAAGCACTGAAATTGTAAGTGAATGAGACTAGCTGAAGTTCTGAAGGGAAGTCAGATGTGCACTGAACTATTGTTTTAGTTAATCGAGAAATGGTTTATTAGCTAATTCTAAATAATGAAAGATTGATATCTGAAGCAGTTATTAGTAAAGACCTATAACCAACAGTCAGTCGGTTGCACCCTTTTACAATAATGTAGTAATTTTGTGGATTAAATAAATCTGTATGTTTAACCCAATATTGATATTTATTGTTGCTTTTTTTTTTCATTTTTTTTTTTTCTCCATGTTTATGTTACTTGCTGAATGCCTTATATCTCTTTCTGCACATAGGTGGTACATGCCAGAGCCCTGCTCTTCCAGCCTTAGTGCGTCCTCCTGCTCCACCCTTGCAGCCGTCGCTGGATATTAAACCATTTCTTCCGTTTCCTCTGGATACTGCAGCAGCAGTCAATCTGTTCCCCAACTTCAATGCAGTAAGTATACTCATAACAGTTACTGTCCACTTCAATGAGCCACAGTTTCCACAGAAGGCTCAAGAGGGCACAAAGTAGAATTTTATGTACTCAATTAAACCTGGAATATTCTCTCCCATATTGAGGGCCAAATAGCTCTTTCAGACACACTGGTAGGCCATAAATTAAAGCCTGGATGAGTGCTAGCCAGAAATAATGCAGAAGGAAAAAAGGGATATGATCCCAAGTGACATGCAATAAAGTTGCAGGACATATCCAGTTCCAGGCCTTGTGAGTTCCCTGCTCTAGCTTAAGATGTGCAGTTTTCATAACATAGCGTTTGCTGCAAACATGAAAACCAAGCGATCCTACATCTCATCTCCAACATCCTTCTTGAGAAATATCTAAAATTTGCAAATTAGAGGGGCAAAGTTTATCTTTGTAAATGGTAAAATGAATAAATAAATAAATAAAAATAGGGCAATTAAAGCAAGAATGGAAAAAACATGAGCTATTCACTGGCAAACAATCCTTTTTCTTTTCTTTTTCTTTCTTTCTTAGGATACCTTATATCTCACCCTTTAAATTAAAAGCAAGGTTAGATTTCTGTTTAATAATTTCTTAACTTATTCATACTATCTAAAGATTTAGAAATCTACTAACTACTTCTTAGGTATTTTCATTACTTTACTGACCTAAATAGTGAGTGTTTCATTCAATTTGCCCCTTTCTTGCTGAGGTATTTAATGTTGTAAAAGAAAGAAAAAAATTAAATTGATTTTATTTTTATTTTAACTTTATAGAATCATGTCACTTTTTAACTCTAGGATTTTCTTTTCTTCATTTACCAGTGCTACATATAGGAAAAGAGAAAGTTAGGAGTGTGCTTGGTTACTTACTCTGAGAGACATAGAGAGAGGTGGAAATTGTTATGTCATAACATTAGTAATTAAAATATAAAATCTTAATTAAAGAGCATACCCATTCTAGAAGTGATTTGTAGTAATCGATAGCAAATTTCAATAATTAAATGTTTGTTTACCTTTCAAGTGTGTTTTGCTTTAAAGCAATTGAACTAATTATGAGAAATATTTATGCAGTCTTAAATGCAAGCAATTGTATAATGTGAGCATTAATAGAGATAAGAGCAGCTATAACATGAATGTCTTAAAATACTCAGAAAAGTCAAAAAATCATTACAAAGAAACTCAAATTTTAAAATGTATATACATATGCAGTAAAGTTTTAAAAAGGGCTGGTGTTAACCAAGTTAAAACCTGAATAACACATTATGATATGTATTAATTACATTTAAGTTTAGTGTACTCTAAAACTCTTACCAGTTTTGTGATCACTACTTATATTTAATGCAGGAGGCCAGCTGAATTATTATAAACATTTTATTAGAATTTCTTCTTTTTTTTTTTTTTTTTTTTTTTTCAGGTTTTTCCGTACTTTGGGATTTTCAGATATTTTTGTTAACAGACTGTTAATTGTTAGTAGACTGATTGTATACTATTCATATCTTGGGGGAGTGGACAGATGTAATGTGTGCTGATATTAATTTAGAAATAAAAAGGTAAAAACAGACTCCTAGCAAAACCCTGTTATTCCTGAACATCATCTTAGAAGTATATCTTTATGTGTAAGCACTGTAGTTGAAATTTAGAGACTCCTTATCTCAAATTCTTCAGTAATCTGAGCCTAGGTTTCAAGGATAAGACCAGCAGCTCTTTTTAACAACACACTGAAATGCATTCCCATGCAAAGGGCTGCTTCCTCTGATGCATGGCCATCTGCCAAATCTACCTTTCCTGAGTGTGTCAGTCCTGAGTGTGAGAATGCTGTCATCTGAGCTGCCGTCATTTGCTTATAGACTGTTCCTTGCAACGTGACCTTTGCCTTCTCATCATGTGTGCTGACATGCAGCATCATCCTCAGTGTTCCCATTTTCCTTCTGAACAGTACATTATTGAACGCTGCTATGTTTAGCTCATATGCCAGAGCTGGTTAATGGCATCCTCCAAACATGAAGGCTAGCTGAGTAGTTATGCATATTTCCAGAAATTCTTTCCAGGCTGACGAATCTTTGGGGACGCATCAACTGCTGCTGAGCATTATCAGTGTAAAGAGAAGGTAACCCACAAGCCATATTAGACTTTAAACAGAACATCTGACAAGTTCTTTAATTATGTGAGTGTGCGACAGGAAAGCGTTTCACCAAAAACCTGCCTAAATATGCATGCCTATGGGTTGTTGATAATGTTTTATATTTATTGACCTCACAATCCTGCACAGTGTAAGTGGAGAAGCATTTGTACTTTGTGACAGAACCAAGGTTAAGCAGGTGGTCAGTAAAAGACCTAAAACTCCAAAAACCTGAACTGGATGTTCTCTCTCATGTTGCAGATAAATTAGATTTTGCCTTGATTTGAGACATCAAAGTTGTAGATAGGGTCTTAGGAAATAGATTTCCTCTTTACCTTTCCATAATTCTACAGAAACTAATCTGTTTGGCATCATGTCTGGGCTACTTCCCAAGAGTCTAGAAGGAATTCCAGAGTATTGGCTATTTACAGGCCAAACACACTTTTCAACAGCTTGCTCTTGAGAAGAGCAATGATCAAGGAGGTACTCAAGTAAAGATGTGTCATGTTCCAGAGAAAGGAAGCAGTCTCTAGTTATGGCAATCCTAACTTAGCTTGTGAGTTTGGTTATAATAAGCATAAATATCTGGGCTAATCAGTCTAAGTTTCTTTTAAAAAAGATAACAGAAAAACAGACAATTTCTTCATTTGTTCAAGTGGAGAAAAATGCACAAAAGTAGCTTGTAATGCAGACATCCTATGTATCTATGTTGGGATGCGGTGAAGTGAACCCTGAAAGTTTCACATTCATCTCTGATGACTATAATGAGGGACTGGCTCAGCTGCATCTACGTTTGGTGAGATGAATCCCACATTAAGGGACAGGTCATAAGCTATTCACGGCTGATATCTTAAATTCCACTTAGAAATCAGATGACAGAAGTGCTGACATTGTATTGTATGTCTACAGAGACATGCTTCTACTTATTAAGCAGTTATGCTAGCTTCTAATTATATCTAAAGACAACTTTAAAGGAATTTGAGTATTCAGGCTAACTGGATGTAGGTATTAGGGGAGGTGAAAGCAAAGTAATTTGCTTGCTTGATCTTTCATACCAGTGGAGATTCTCTCAGGCATATACTCAAGATCTAACAAAAATAAATGCTGATCTTAAGTACACCATAATAATAACAATAATAGTGAGGTGTATTTTATAACATTTTTCACTCTAATTCAGTTTATTTTCTTTGTTACTAATGATTTTTGGTCTAAAGCTATCTCAGTTTTTTGATGACTGCCTCTGAGGAAAACGTTCAGCACTGATTTCTGTGAAGTCAAAAGCTTGTATCCAGGCAGAGAATAGAGGAGTTAAAAGTTCTGTGCAAACCTTTCTCAATAATGTCTCTGGGCACTGTGGAAAGGGGAAAGTAAAAAACAAGTAACAACAGAAATGCAGGGATGGTAACCTATGAACCTTTATACCATTCATTTTCATGAGGGACATTTTCTATTTGTACAAGAAAGCTTAAAGCAAACATAACAATTAACAATCTGGTTAGCTGAACATTTGTAGGTGCTATACTCATAATTGTGAAGTGAATGGGTACCCTCAAGTCCTATGTAGAAAGGCATTGTAAAAACACAGATGTTAAAATTGAAAACAGTACACTGTTGTGCAGACCCTGAAGAATCACAAGTTCATTGCAAGTTTATCTGTTAGAAAACGATGAGTTAAGTGTACGGGATGTACATGGATACATTTTATGAATGAAAGAATCTGACAACATACAATACTTATGTAGCTTTCTAAGATGTGTTTTGAAGAATGTCAGAAAAAACCTGTCTATTCTGAAAAACGTTTGAGATCATTTAGCAAACATTTTGTATAGTTCCGTGTTTTCAATCTTGAAATATTATTTATGCCTCATAGACTGTGGTATGAGAAAGATCTGTAGTGGAAGAGGTCCTCAATGTAGAAGATCCGTGTAAATGCTTGTAAGCAGAAATAGAGATACTTCTTGAAAAGATCCATCCTAACTCCAAAATAAGGCCTGATTTTCCCATGTTGTCGGTGGAAGATTTCCCCAAAAAACATCCTTTGGACAGAAATATGATTACATTTTAGTCTTTCAACTTATAACTTGGAAGAGCGGTAGTAATGTCAGAACTACTAAATTTGGATTGAAAAGTCCTTGTTACTCTACAGACTTCTTTTTTTCATGATCTATCTGTAGTAATCCTTGTCCAGTCTCCTGATTTTTCTTGTTTGTTTGTTCTCATGTACTTTCATGTACAATACTTAAGGCTTCATGTGTCACCTTCCCCTGGTAGAGTTTTCCTATTTGGGAGGGAACAGTGGATGTTGCCCATAGTTTGGAGCTTCTAAGGCAGTGCTTCAACAGTAGCTTGTGTCAGAGTGCTAAGGTAGTTCTTGCTTCCTGAAACTTTCACAGTATGGTAACTATGAAACATCCTAGCAGCTCTGAGGACAACATAAATGCTATGCTCTCTGTTTACAGAGGTGATGCTTGTATTTGTGTGTATCAGTAGGGAGTAATTATGGCTGCCTTTCAATAGGAGCCATTTTTCTCCATGCTCTGGTCTTGCTGCCAGACTCTACCTGGCCTGCAACCACCAAGTTAGCTCACGTGAAGCAGAGCTGCCTGGTTGTTGGGAAATGCAGTCTTGTCCTGTTGTGCCAGGCACTGGATAGAAATAGACAATATAGGAAACCTGCCTACTAATAGTTATTTCTGGGAAAGGTTATGCCAGAAAAACTAGATAAAACCTGTCTAAAAGCTGCCAGAAGACAGTTTTGAAATATTTTCCTAATACTCTTGTCCTGGGTATTTTTTTTTTATCTTGAAGAGAGATATGTGCTACAAAGCTGACATGCCAGTTTTCTGGATGTTATGAATAAGATGTAGCTTTTG